TCAGCAGATGTTGCAAGTAGAAAAAAGGTCTCAGAATTTTCCACTTCAAGAAAACTGAAAAACAACTTCTAGCTTAAACTGTAGTGTACTAACTTTTAGTGATTGGAGAATAGTAACATTAATATGGTAATTATAGTAGTTATGATGAGCTATAGATAAAAGTTAAAGTATAGATTGGTTCTTCTGTATTAAGATGCTCAGCAAAGAAAATGCATTTGTAACTTAAACTCAGGGTCTCCAGCCCGCCTGCAGCTGGAGCTGGCAGCTGTGGGCACAGGCTCTGTCACCCATGACCCTGGACTGCTGTAACACCTTGGATGTAATAAACTGCATTTGGAAGAGCTGCCTGGAGTTCTGCATCCCTCATTACGACTTTTACACTTCTGGGCAGCTCTCCTGTCCAGTGGCAACCACTCAGGAGTTTGTCTGAGCACTCGTGCACCCACGAGTTTGTTTGAGGTGCTCAGAAAGCTTGCTTAGCTCTGAGGCATGGGATACCACTGCTTTGCCAGGTGGCATGAGCCTGTAACTGAGGCTGATTTGACATAGCTGCCTCTTGGCAAATCTGTATCAGCACATACTCTTTTCATTCTCCTGCAGCCTGCTTATTCCTTCTAGTGCTTTCCAGCAACTCTAATTGCACTGACTGGCATGTAATTCCTTCTCTGGCATAAGCTGATGGATCATCAAGGGTCCCTGTGCTTACTGGCTGCCCAGAGCTCACCACCACACCTTGCCACTGGCCACACTGGCTCAGAGCAAAGGTGGCCACCAGCCACCATCAGCACTGCTGGGTGGCCTTGCAGCAGTAGCACCCAGCTGCCCCACGCTGCCCAGCCCAGCCTGGGCGCAGCTCTGGCCCCAGCGCTGAGCCAGGCAGTGCCTGTCAGAGACCACTGAAAAGCATAAGTGGCTGCACCACTTCTGCCTCTCAACCAGTCTCAGACCCAGTGGCTGTGATGAGCTAGGAGGACTCAGGGTGGGAAACTCTTCCATGTGGGTACCAGGGCCTTTGTCTCTCTCCATTTATGCTGCAGGAGCCTCCTCTGGAAGAAACTCCTGATGATTATCAGGTTTTTAAAGGAAAAAGGTAAAACACATGAAATCATGCTCCTAAAACAGGGAAGTCTGTGTAGTTTAAAACTGGGTTGATGACTCAGGAGCCCTGGATTCAAACCTGCACCCTGCCGCTGGCAGGCTGCTCTCAGCATGAAAGCATCACTGAAAGCTGGGCATCCGGCATTTCCCATCCTGACCACAATGGCTGCAGTCTCAAATCTGTGTGGCATTGTCCTGTCTCCCTCAGGCCTCTGCCCTGGCCAGGGGCATGGAAAGAGGCTTTGTTGGAGTAACACACACCTATGCTGCTGCAGTATGAGCAGAGGTGTGAGGAGAGCTTGGCAACACCACAGATAAATCTTTGTCTGAGTCGCTGGTAAACAGGAAGCTGATGAACAGCTTTACTATTTTTCTTAGTTTTTTAGGTTCTTTTGGTCTGATTTTCATAGCTATTCTTTTTCACTTACTTCATCTCAGGAAACACATTTTTTCTGCCACCTCTTGCAGGAAATGTGCAAGATACCTTGTGCTGAAAACCTCAAGGTTTGCTCAGCCCTCTCTATGAGAGGTGATGAGTCAAAGGGCCTGGCAATGAGGGCGTCAGAATGTCTTTAGCAAAAGCTGGAAGTGTAATGGTCAAAATCACAATGATGAACATAAGACTGAAAGAGTTTGACAATGCAGAATGCAGACACTGACACACTTTTGTGCTGTGTTCAATCTGTGTGGGCTTTTCACCAATATCAGAGAGAGAATTTCAAACCTTTCTGGTCAAGACATCCAGGGGCAAAGGTCTCTAGCAAGGAGAGGCACCAGGCTCTTGGGAACTCATTTTCCACACCAAAGACCCACCCTGCTGTCCACACCAGGCATGTCCACCATCCATGCCACTGCCAGCAAGCAAAACAAGCACATATCCTGCTGTGCTGGATTCGTGAGCCAGAGTGTGGTGGGGGAGAGGGACAGCCCTTGATCTCAGGGTCCAGACACACCACGAGCAAGCAGAGCAGACTGTTCTACTGTGCATCAGATACCCCTGTCTTGTCTTAAGCCGAAGGCAGCAGTGCAGGTACAAAACCTGCAGGGATCAGTGCTCACCATGTTTAAACTCTCTCCTGATCCTGCACGGTGCTGCTCGAGAGAACAAGGAAATAAAGAAGCCTCTGCTGCTTACAGGGAGGCATGTCAAGGCTTCAGCAGCAGCAGCCTGGGGCTGCAAATGTGACTTTGGCTGAGCATGCACTGACAGAAAGGGGTTTGCTTTTTGCGCTCACTTTCCTATGTGCTCCTCACCACAGCAGTGCAGAGGATCCCTTAAGCTAGGCAGAGTAAAACAGATTCTCACCACCTACACCATCCTCCTCTCCTGTGGGCTGGGGAGGGACATGCATAGCTCAATGAAGATAATAGATATGGCCTAAAATGTTCAAAAAATAACAAATCTAGCAAGAAGCTGGGTTGAATAAGAGAAGGACGAGTCACTTTCCGGTTTGCAGATGTGTGGGTCAGGTTTCCTTCTTGACATCAAACTACAGCTTTATTTTTTTCTGGTGTGGGTTTCAAATGAGTGGGATAAAGCAGAAGAGCTTTTCCACTGCATAGTTAAAATCTCTTTTTTCCTTTTACAAAACACAGTTTGGTTTTCTTTGCTGACTTTTCTGATAAGCTCAAATAATTCCAAGGACCAGTAATTCAAGACATCCTACGTTGTAAGTTGGTAGGCAGGAGAGTAAAACGTCAAAAGTTTCATTAACCTTTTGAGGGTCTTTCTGAGCAGGACCTAACTCAAGACCAGACCTAATTCATAGACAAGAAAAATGGTAATGTGTCCATATTGCTTGGACAGAGCAAAGGACATCTGAGAAATCCCAAAGTCAAGAGCTGAGTCACAGTACTTCAGGCACTCTTTGAAGAAAAAGAAGGCTCTTGATTTAATCTCAAATGATGTTCAAAACAAAAAAATAGTGGTTTGGATGTTTAAGTTTCCCTAATCCAAAATGCTGTCTGCTTGTTTTACCTTTATTCTATCAAATATGTGCAAAGCAAGCAATTCCAAACTTGGAAAACTCTTCCCAATGTCAGCTTTCTTTAAAGAAGACCCCAGCATGCAGATTGGGGCAGTCAGCACTGGGAAACCTTTGTACCTCACTTTGTCAATGATAGTTGCCATAAGCTGGGATAAAGTAAGCTTGTCTTTTTGACTATTTAGGACTTTTATCAGCAAAATGGGTCTGAAGGTGGAATAAACCAGGCCTCATTTGTTCCCGCTGTGGCTCACTTCAGCTTGGAAAATTTAAAGCAAATTTAAAACAGAAATTCTTCTCTGTAACATAAATAAAATAGATCCCCAGTCCAAGGCAACAAAGTGAAATCACATTATAAAAAAAAATATGCACAATGTTTTGGGGTTTTCTTTGCTCTTTGAAATGTGAATTGGTGTTGTGATAAATCATCAATCAGCAGCTGACCACATAAACCAAGGGAGGTTAACACTTAATGTACATCCTAGTAAGGCATGCTGTTCAAGAGTATGAGTGTGCTCCCATCATGATTTCATTTATGCTCTTGTTGTTTAGGTTGGTGTAAAACACACCTCTTTGCACAAAAGAAGGAAGTGACTGCACAGGAAAATTACACATTGGTCTCCAGACTCTCTAGAAACTTGTGACAAAATAGCATCATTAAATCACTGGGATTGTTAAAAACTCAGTCCTGGCAATATCTGCAAGTCTGACATCCAGTCTTGCTTTTAACACAAAGTTGGTTTTTAGTTAACCTTATGTCTAGAATCATAAGCTGTGGTCTGTCTTGAGGTGCCGGTGGCTAACAAGATCACACAAATGGCCTTCAGGTGTTACACAGCCCTATCAGAAATAGCACTCAGCACCCTCCATCCTGATGATCCCAAGGGTGTTTGGTGATCCTCCAGGAAAATCTTCAGGAAAAAATAATTCACACAACCAATAAAAAACAACGGAGGAACATTAAAAAGATTTGGGATTCAGAGAGGTTGGTCTAGCAAAACAGCCATAACTCCAGTTGGCACAGCTCCATGGCTGTGCTGTTCTGAAGCATTCCAAGGGGCACTGCAGGGAGCTCTGCCTGCTCTGTCTGAAAATCAATCTTGTTCAAAATGCAAGGGCATCCAATCTTCCAGGAAACAAAAAGTTTTCAGCAGCATCAGCAAGTGACTGTCTCACTGTGCGGTGCAGGGCTGAGCCACAGGCTCTGGGGAAGAAGCAGCTGGGCAGGCAGCTGCTTCCTACTGCTGCCCTGACATCCCACTGTGGCTCCTTCGTGGCCACTGAGAGCACATTGCACTGCAAGGAGGAGCCTTACCTGTGGTGTGACAATGGAGGGCAGGAAATTGCTACATGCAGAGAGAAAATCCTGCCTGCCATAAAAAAGCAGCCAACTCTGCTGGCAGTGAGGGACACACAGGTCTTACACTTCATTTGAAGTGTTTTCAGAGAACTACACAGGAGAGAAAGGACCACACACGTTGGCCATCACCAAAGTGTGAATACACAGCTGAAAACCTGAGCTGAAAACATCCCCAGCACACTTGTGTTTCACATCCTCTCTCCTCTCCAGCACAGGCACTATAGGGACTGGATTACCAAAGGTGAGAGGGTGCTGATGCACCAGGTTATCCAGAGCCATGGATGCAAAAATACAGGGATCAGCCAGGGAAGAAGGAGTGACCAGCTTTGAACATAGCCTCTTCCAAGACAGTGCAAAGACAGCTGCAGGAGCCGCAATTAGGCTTCCTGGAGTCCAAAAAAACAACAGAGGAGCATCAGAAAGAAAACAACAGGCTGTCCTAAAGATACAATATCACCACTGGTCAGCCCCCTTGTAGCAAAGTGCCAAGGTTTGGGAAGATTTTCCTCAGTGCTTGGTAGGTAAAGCAAATTGCCATGCCTTTGATCATTACCTACCTCTCAGCTTGGCTTTGCTTCAGTGCCTTCCTCCTCCTCCTCCTCCTCGTCCGACAGCGTGTGCTCTAGCAGGACCTGTGCAGGAGCCTGTGAGGGAGCAACTTTCGGTGCTGTGGTGTGCTCAGTGGTTGCTGGCTCCTGAGGCTGTAGGGATGCCCAGATGGAGCTGGAAGCTGGCATGGGGACAGCACCGGCTGCCTTTGGGCATTGATGTTCCCCCGCTAAGCAAATAGTCAGACTTTTTCAGTCCAGTTTTCTGGAAAGAGTGTTTCTGTATGTTTTAATATATGCGAGCTGTTGTCTCCCTGACCGCTGCAGCTGTTACCCAGCTTCTCTGTCTCTAATTGTGAATGTGGTCCTAGAGTGCCTACAGATTTCACAGTATGTGATTAAAACGGGCAAAATGCTCCATGTTGGAGCAATGCCTGAGTAGGAAGCACAGTGTGAGTTCCTCAGTTCAGACAGCTACATGTTAGGGGTTTTTACACTTGCACAGCCTCTTTCCCTGTGTCCCATCTACTCTGAGTAGTCCTTTCATCTCTACTGGACCCCACCAAGGACATCAGGGGCAGCCTCGAGCACAGGATGGCAAGGGCTATACAGGCACTCAGGGAAGAGCCAGAGGAGGAATACAGACAGCTGTATGGCACCTGTTCTGGGGCTCACCAGCTCATGGCAAAATGCAGCCTGGTGGTGCCTCTGCTGCCCACAGCCCTCCAGCAAGGGTTGTCTCCACAACACAGCCATTCCATTGAGTGCAGCCATTCCTGTGCCAGCCCCTCACTTCTGCATGCAGCTGCTTGTCTGTCTTCGCTAGCATGGATTCAGCAGTGGAGCACAAGCCTGTGGCATGCTGAGGGGAGATCCAGGGAGGCCACAGGCAGCCAGGGACAGGGCAGAATGGTCGGTGCAGCACTGAGAAGGAAACAGAATGCAGGCAATGAGGATGAACATCTTGCCAAACTTCTTTTTCTGTGCCCTCAGATGCTCCAGTGCCTCTTCCTCTTCTGCTGCATCACACTGACCCCAGAAATCAAGCTCTGCTACCTCCATTGCCAGCTGGGTGTGGAGCTGGCCTTCTGCAACTACCTAACCCTTAAATTTACCTACTGTAAGCAGAGAGCAGGATCTGGGCCCCCAGCACGTGGCTGGTTCCCCTTTGTGCAAAGCCAGTTTGGCTGTGTGCCCCAGCTGCCACTTTTGGCATGGCAGCTGTGCAGCTGCCTGGTCTGCAGAGCTGGGGGCAGGACTCCCACAAGCCTTCTGCTCTGCTACCAGCTCTTGTCAGTTCCTCCTCGCATGCCCTTCAGAAAACAGGGCAAAACCACCAAAACACAAAGCTTTGTGGGCCAAGTACTGTGAAGATCAGACCTGCTCATCCAAGGACAGGGAACCTGAGCCAGTCATGAGTAACCAAGGGTGCAGACAATCCTGTAAGCACCCACACCCCCTCCATCTACCTTAGACCAAGATCTTTGTCTTCCAGCCTTGTACCTCACTCTCAACTGTTCATTCTGCAGTGTTGTTTTTGACACCCTTAAGATATGCTGTTTTCTCAAAATAAAAAGGGAAAAAATAAGCTGAGGTGTCTCAGGAAGAGAGGAATAGGGAAATCTTTACAGGAGTTTTGCCATCTGGGGACAGTTTCAGCTCATACCTCTATCAGGATCCAGTCACAGCCCCAAAATACAACAGGATATGGGGGGTCCAGCAATGATTCTGGTGGTCCAAATTAACTAAAGAAGGAAAAGATGGGACAACCTGGGTCAGCTACAGCAAATATTGTTTTGGAGAGTTTTCCAGAGAGCTAACAGAAATAGTTTTCTGAGGTAATGCAACTGGATTGAGAACCAGCTACTGGACTGAGGTCCTGACTCCAAAACCCGCCCTATTTAAATATCCTGACTGTTCACCATCATGCATTAGACCCTGATTGTCATCATGGGGCTGTTTGTGTTGTGGCACACAGTGCAACAAGGAGCAGAGGTTGCAAAACAACTTGCGGGAAAAAGAGGGCCAGAGCTAAAATTGCAAGAGGAGCACTGGGAACAGGAAGAAGATGCATGAAGGTCCAGATTGCTCCTGCCTAGATTTTCCCTGCCTGGTTTTAATTTTTCAAGAGTAAAATTAAGAATAAATATTTTTAATCATTATGATGGTTCCAATTCCAACAACAGAATGCCAGTTCACCTTTGCATATTTCTCGATTTCTCCCCCCTTTTCATTTTTCCTTTTTCCCAATGCAGCTCAGCAGGACAGTGACCCACAGGGCCAAATTTAGTCCCACAAGTGCAGTTCCACTGACCACAGCAGGGCTACAGCACAAAGCACTGGCTGAGGTGCTCCAGAGGTGTTTCATACTGACTTTGGCAAAAGTGTAGAAAGTAAACAAAAATGTACCAGTGCCTGCTCCAGGAACATGTGGTGATGCTTTGACTACGTTTCTAGAAAAGATGAGTATGTTGCTTTGTCTTCAAGACAGTTTAAAAGCAGGTTTTAGAGAAACCTGCATTCAAAAGGTTATACTGAGGCTGACCAAAATGTGGCTTATGTTAATTTCACTTGCTTTGATGCGAGAAAGGCATGAAGCTGGTACAAAAATACATAAATAGATATAGCTAGACTTAAACTGAGATCTCATTTGCATGGTTTTGTAGTGCTTTAGCTAGATCAGCTCATGAACATCAATTTTGTGCATGGTCAAGCAAAGCTTCCTAACTTTTCCCAGCAGTTCAAGTGCCTCCTTCCCTGTGCTAAAGCAACAAAATGGGGTGCTCAGTCATTGCTGGCAAAAGTAGGCACTAGTTTTAAACTCACTTTCCTTTAAACCTGTTTAAGCTGTGCCACCTGACTTTTGCACAGCTGCATCAGAGGTGTGAGCATATATTTCATCTCACCAGGGGATGCAAAACCTGCCCTAGGGCTGGCCAAGACAAGTCTTTGGAGTGCTGCAGAAGCTGTTTTGGTGGTGTTTTCTTCAGGAAACTTTGGTTTTGGCTTTATTTTTGGCTGGCTCATTGTAGCAGAAGATGTAAACCTGCTGCCATTTTAAGGAGTTTTTCAAGCTTGCTCACTCTCTGCCTCAGCTATACTGGGATTGAGAATTCTGGTTTTAGTAGGAGAGGTCCCTGACTCCCTAGGGTCAATGCTTTCCTCAGCTCTGAAGTGGAAATAAACTCATAACTTTAACAAACATGTTTTCTTCAAATGTTCCTTTGCCATTTGAGGTAGAAAGATATTAAATAAATCAATCTACTCTCAGGTAAACCACTTCCACAATTAGTCATATTTCATTTGCCAGGTATCAGATCATCTCCACACTAAGCTGCAGAGCACTTCAGAAAAACCAGAACAGTCAAATCTGTCGTTTGCAGTGACACAGGCAGTGTTTCCTCATCTTTTTTGCCCATATTTACATTTCCAAATTTCTTTTACATATGACAAGGCTATACAAGCCAGAGTGCAAATTTTTTCACTTTTCCTCTTCCATCATTAAAAAAAGGATAGACATTGCTCTTTCAGCATAAAAAGAACACAGTTATACTCTGTTGCTCAGACACCTCCAGGGACAGACTTATAAAATCCTAGATGAAGGGTTGAAACAAAAATACCTTAATTTCAAACAGTGTTTTGTCTGCATTACAAATTCAGATCTGCCACTAGAGGTAACTAGAAGTTCACATCAAGTTTTTAATCAATTTGTCTAATCTCTTCTCCAGCTGCACTCCATGTGACTGTAGCACAGTCATTTACTTGTTATCTTGGAAGTACCACTGAAGCCAAGGGACTGTCCTTACATGGGAGAAAAAGCCTTAATGACTGCAGTTCTGATATATTCCTTTTGTGTCTTTCTGCTGTTTTCTGCATGTTTCTATCAATCACCTGCCTTCTGGAGCTGTTTAAGAACATTTTAAAGAATAATTTAAGAATATGTTTAATAATTTTAAAGAGTGTCTTAAGAATAATTTTTTTTGTTGTTGTTATAAGAAAAATTTAAGAGTATTTTAAGAACTTTAGTGTTAATCAGCAACGTGGATACACACAGGTTGAAGCCAAGATAGGACAAAGTATGAGGGTATCTTTGAGAAAGGGAACATTGAAACCTATTTACCATGTTATGACATGATGGGATTTTTATCAGATGATGTGTGAAAGTGGCTGTTGGTGGGGGAGCTGTGATGAAAAAACATTCCATATTCTTATTTAAAATTCAAGCAAAACCACAGCATTTTTGCCCATCACACTTCAGTATATGGTGCCTCTCATTTGAGACTCCTTCTCTTTGGAAACACTGTGAAGCTTCTAGAAACAATTTGTCATTCTTCTTGCCCGGGGGCAAGCTGGGGACCAGGACAGTGAGGCTCAAGGATGCATGGCCTGGATGCTGGAGCGAGGGCACCTCCCATGGGGTCAGGGTGGTCTCAACCTGCTCTAAGAAGGGGTCCCTGCCCTGGAGAGGTGCCAGTCCAGCCTGGGCAGGCGGAGGCGATGGGGCAGAGCCCAGCCTGAGTCAGCAGCATCTGCCACTGCTCAGCCACAGCTGTGCCCTGGAAGCCCTGTGCACGCCTGAGTCGTTTCCAGCAGCCGTTGGGAAGTGGGGGGCATTTAGTGAACAGCTTCAGCTGGAAAATAAAAGCGTTGTGCAAAGTTGGCATCCAAGACTTCATCTTCTAAATGCAAGGCTTGCCCTTCTACATGTTCTGCTCTTGTGGTTTTTCTTGAAAATGCTGCTTGCACTTTTAGAAATAAGAAAACCTCTGGGTAATTAGAATGCCCTTCTGCTGCCCCTCATGAAATATTTGGTCCCAAACACATGGGTGTTTTTCTTACTTTTTCTCTAAGAGCAAACCTCAAATATTTTCATTCCCAGTATATCTGAAAATACACTATTGCTGACAAGGCTTCAGTCTGGCTTCATAAACTGAACTATAAATTACCCATCCATATACATGCAGTGCTTAGAGCCACTCATGTGCTTTCCAGAAGAGACTTGGTCATCTGGTGAAAACCACAGGTCCCAGAAACATCTCAGCCAGGTGGTTTGAAGGCAGCAGGGAGGGAGAAGGTAAGGCAGCAATAAGACAGCCAGCTCCAGGCTGCTGCTCCAGTCTGGAATTCCAGACTGGATGGGAGCTGAAGTCCTGCAGAGGCTCACCGAGAGTGACTGAGGGGAGTCGGGGAGTGGAAAGGGAGACTAAACAAAGAACTTGTCCTAACAGCATTGATGGACAGCACACCACCAGCACTCCAAGCGCCCTGCAAACAGCACAAGTGACCTGGAGTCACCTGCAGCCACACGCAACACCTCATCAAATCTGGCTTCCCAGCAGCTCTGCTTATCAGCAGCTGATGTAGGTGTGGGGGTATCTGCCTGCTGAAGAGCAGGTGTTCATCTAATCCATCCTCTGGAGGAGAGCTGTGTCTGTCAGGTCCCTTACCTGGGATCTCAGACTGCAGAGGGAAGGCGGGGGTTGCCCTGTTCAAGCGTGCCACCTATGGCTAACCATGGCCGATGCACACAGCCTGCAGCCTGCTTCCCTCTGCAGTCACTGCAGGAACAATGCACCAAATCTGCCGGTCCTAATGCAAAAACCAGACAAATCTCTACAGCTTCATCTAAAAACCCCAGTAATATCTAGAAATATGCAGTCAAACTTAAACAGACACACACCCTTAACCTGGATAGAGAAGCACAGTGCTGCTGCTGAAGGGCATGAGCAGGGTGGGCTGCTGCCAAGCAGGATGGCTACAAAAGCTGACATCCCCAGAATCATTCTTGTTCTTAGGGTGCCTCCCACGATGTGCATGTGCTCTAGGGAGCTGTGTTAAACCTGGAGTCATAGAATCATAGAATGGTTTGAGGTGAAAAGACCATCTAGTTCCAACCCCCCTGCCATGGACAAGGACAGGGATAC